TCAAACTACTAAGGTTTTGGTTGTTGGTAAAATTGTCAAAGGACTTTATGCACTAGATCACACTTCTTTCACTGAGCAAGCCATTCAACAATCACAACATCTTCATGCCTCATACATGCTTTTAGCAAGAAGATATTATAGAGCTTCTCCTAATAAAGCTAATCTTAGTGTGTTTTCAGTTCAAAATATAAACTGTTGGCACTCTAGATTAGGTCATCCCTCTACTGCTGTAATGAAGCAACTTTCTAAATGTATTCCTTTTGGTAATTCTGATTGTGATGTTAGCTTATGTGATATATGTCCAATGTCTAAGTAACATCGGGAACCTTTTTCAACTAGTATTATTCATAGTGCTCAAAGCTTTGCATTATTACATGTTGATATTTGGGGTCCTTATAAACATAGCTCCATTCCTGGTTACAATTTATTCCTTATCATTGTTGATGACTTTAATCGTTATACTTGGACATTCCTTTTCAAATCCAAAACTCAAGTTGTATCTTTACTCAAAGCCTTCCTTGAATATGTTAAAACTCAGTTTCAAAATATTTTCTAGATCATTAGGACAGACAATGGTACAGAATTTTTAAATTCTCAATGCCAGGAATTCTTTCTTAATCATGGCATTGTTCATCAAACCACTTGTCCTTATACCCTCAACCGAATGGGGTGGTTGAACGAAAACATCATCATCTACTACAAGTTGCTAGATCTCTTTTACTCAATTCTAAACTTTCTAAACGTTTTTTGGGGGAATGTATACTCACTATAACTCATTTAATAAATATGCTTCCCACAGCCATTCCCAAATGGAAGTCATCTCTTAAAACTCTTTATTGTAAGAAGCCCGATTACAGTCACCTCAAGGTTTTTGGTTGTCTTGCTTTTGTTGTTGATCATAGTCCTTCCCGAGATAATTTTGATGCCAGATCTCATAAGGGCATCTTTATTGGTTGCCCCATTCATCAGAAAGGCTATAAAATGTACGTTCCTGCTTCGAGGAAAATCATTGCGTCTCGGGATGTGATTTTTCATGAAAACTCTTTTCCTTCATGCAACACTGAGGTTGATAATGTGTTCCTTCCTCAAGTGACTCTTGATCCCTTTCTTAACAACTTAGACTCTTCTTTTAATGTGATTCTTCCTTCTTCAATTCCTCTTTCATTTCAGCCTGAACCTTCTTCTGATGTGATTCTTCCTTCTTCAATTCCTTCTTTATTTCAGCATGTATCACATGATTCTTCTCTTCCACTTAATTCCTATTCTCAACCTGATTCCTCTCATCCTAATCCTCCCATACTTCGTTGAAGTACTCGTCTCAAGAAATCATCAGAGAGACTTCAAGATTTTGAAAGGATCAATGTTTGTATCTATCCTGAATCTGACTCTCTTTACTCACACTCTTCATGTTGTTTCGTCACTCCTTCTCATAAGCTTTTTCAAGCCAATCTCTCTACTATTTAGGAACCTTCTTGCTATAATCAGGCTAGAAATAATCAACTTTGGATAGATGCTATGAATCAGGAACTTGTAGCTCTTGAGCAGAATGATACTTGGGAATTAACCAGTTTGCCTGCAGGAAAGAAAGCAGTGGGATGCAAGTAGGTATACAAGATAAAGTGTCTTCCTAATGGTTCCAATGACAGATATAAAGCCAGACATGTTGCTAAAGGCTTTACACAGATTGAAGGAGGAGACTTCACAGAAGTTTTTTCACCAGTTGCCAAAGTTGTGACAGTCCGGATTCTCCTTGCCATATATAGCACCATCCAAGGACTGGATTTTGCATCAACTTGATGTGAGTAACACTTTTCTTCATGGCTTCTTGACTGAGAAGTTTATATGCATCCTCATCCTGGCTATCATAAGGATCTTCCAAGTCAATTGTGCATACTAAAGTAGTCCTTTTATGGTCTCAAACAAGCATCAAGGGAGTGGAACTAGGAATTTACTACTCAGCTTCTTCGTTTTGGATTTCACCAATCTTATCATAATCACTGCTTGTTCTTCTTCAACCAAAATGATCATCACTTGTTTCTTCTTGTGTATGTTGATGATTTCATTCTAATTGGCACCAGTGAAGACCTTATTTCTCAGGTTAAGACCTTGATACTACATTCTCCATCAAAGACTGGGGAATTGTCAAGTATTTTTTGGGTATGGAGATTGCTCATTCTTTTGATGGCTTGTATCTTTCACAAGCCAAATATATTACAGACATTCTTGAAGACACTCATATGCAAGATTGCCAGCCAGCAACTAATCCTTTTCCTTGCAATATGAAGTTTGCAGCTATAGATAAAGATCCTAGTCCATTGCTTCCTGATGTTGCACCATATAGACGTTTGGTTGGTCGCCTTCTTTACCCCAATTTCACCAGACTTGATCTCACTCACTCTGTTCAAAAACTAAGCCAATTTTTTTAGCATCCACATGAGTCACATTGGCAGGATGCCTTACATGTTCTAAGATATTTATTTGGTTGCATTCATCAGGGTCTTTTTTATCCTTGCAACACTTCTCTTCATCTTGTTGCTTATTCTGATGTAGACTGGGGAACTTGCAGAACCACCAGACGGTCAGTTAATGGTTTTTGTGTATTTTTAGGGGATTTTTTGTTTTCTTGGAAAACCAAGAAGTAGTCTACAATTTCTTGTTCCTTAGCAGAAGTGGAGTTTCGTTCTATGGCCATGACAGCCCGGTAATTGTAGTGGATTTCCTTTATTCTCTGAGATTTTGGTGTTCCCTTTTCTACTCCAATTCCATTACATTGTGATAATTAATAAGGCTGCATTGCATATCACTGAGAACCATGTGTATCATGGGCCTACCAAACACATAGACATTGATTGTCATGTGGTTCGGGACCTTTACAAATCAAGGTTCTTGCAACCTTTACATATTTCTACCAGTGAGCAGCTAGCAGATGCTTTCAGTAAACCCTTGCCTGCTCCTTCTTTCCATTATCTTTTGTCTAAGATGAGCTTGATACATGCTCATCTTAATAGGGGGTGAAGATTTATAAGACGGATCATCATGCTTATGTGGCACAATGTGAAGGCTGTGGTCCTTCCTCCCTCAACTGCATTCCATCAGTCACATGCACAACAGTACACACGAGCTGAGTTTACCATTTCTAGAAGGATCTAAAGCTGTGTTAGACGTGCCAACCAAGCAAGCTGACCTCAGCAATCTAGGAGCAATGCTAGAGTTACCGGTTGTGAACAGTTAGGTAGCTTTAGCAATAGAAGAACCACCTGATTTATCTATGAATAGGCTTGTTGTACAGACCTTTTGTTCCGGTTAAATACACAAAGTTTTCATCTCTTTTATTCAAGTATTCTCTTAAAGAATTGGTTCAGAAAATTAGGGTTTCAAGATCCTTTCATTCTTCACAAATGTTTCTGGTTATGATCTTCTAGAATAACATCAACAAGAAAAGGAAGAATGAAGAGAGCGAAACAATGACCTCCATGTGGACCTGTAGGAAACAAATGAGCGCCAGGAATTTTTCATGGATTCATTATGGTAGTGATTAATTTATGTTATAGAGTAGAAAACCATACATGCATGTTTCATATGAAAGTTGGGACTTACTGTAAGTACGTTTGAATTAACATGCGACACTAAAGGACTAAAAAAATGCTGGGTTTGATGTCGACATATTAATTCTTTGCTTTTGAGGCCAAATTAAAGTTTTGAACTGAGACATCTGTCTCACACACAAATTACACAGATGAATTATTGGCTGTTCTGCACTACAAGCCAAATCCATAGCGTTGCCTCTCGCATCTGCAACACAACAATTCTTGCGATAGCAAAATCTGCATTTCCGACAGTCAAACACACCCCCAAGAGGTTTTTTTGTCTGCATTAAGGAACATTCGGGTTGGTTGGATACACATTTCGATTATTAGGTTATAATGGTAAATATCAAAACTTAGCCAATTATAATTAATATGGATTTTATTCGATTATTAACTGAATAATGAATGATTTTATATCTGAAATGTAATTTGAATGATATGATTTTGAGGTTAATTTACGTATAGTGCTTTTTTTTTTTAACGGAAATTGTGGGTCATATTGAATAGTTTTTATTTATCGGAAAATATAGGGACAGTTTGAACAATCCTTTAAAAAAAATTGAGAGATGCATTAGAAAATGTTACATAGGATTTTTTCCTACGTAGCAACGGAAGGAGATTATTGGTTTTATCTATCTGGTTTCTCTCTTAAACACAATAGATAGATAGATAAATTTTTATGTATTTCACTAGAAGAATGTGCCCTTTCAAAAAAAAAAAAAAAGTGAAATATCTGATGTCATAGATGACTGACACTTGGGAGATTCTACTTCATATCATGTCGTTTTATACTAACTTAATTTAATAGGTTTTATGCCGGAAATCGGAATGGTTAAATATCTCTTAGATTTTTCATTATTATCTTCTGTTTATTTTTAACATAGAGTTGGGAGGTTGGAACCAACGAACCAACAAAGTTTCCCCCATATTACAATAGGAATAGATATATTTATATTATGCCTAGCTTGCTGCACACTAAAACTGAGAATAGATCAACTCAGAACTATCTTGGTGATGATGTTACAGACGTGCACTAGTTGTTGAAATTCCCCTCAGATTCACACTGATTAATATGGATAAGATACAAATTCAAATTCTTTCCCAAAAAAAAAAAAAAGAGAAGAATAAAAGAAACAGAAATTTCAAAACAAACGTTCAGATTTGGAGAAACAAATTAATACTCCTTCCGTCCCGTAAAAATAATCTACGTAGGTTGTAATTTGTACTAAAAATAATACGAATCATAAGATAAAATTTGCATTATTTTTGTAAGACAGAGCGAGGACAAAATATTCTTTTTTGGGTAAGGGGGGAGGGAAAGAGAAACAATCATCTGCGAATGTGAGCAACATAAGAATCCAGCTCCAATGGAGCTCCATTACCCATACGAGATGCTTTCACTGCTTTGCATACTTATTCTGCCCTCAGTCTAATCTTCTCTCCCTCCTCAGAATCCATCAATGATCTGACAGCATTTTTGATGTCTTTTGAGGTCACATGAATCTCTTTAGCTTGATGATCAGATGCCAAAAGTTCCTCCAGGACCGGCATACCAACTTTTAGCACCTTAGTCACTAGCACAGTAGCTCTGTGATTGTCAGAATGCATAGGCCAAACCGCCATTGGTACTCCATGACTGAGGCTTTCTAAACAGGATCCCCATCCACAGTGACTCAAGTATCCACCAGTTGATGAATGTGCCAGAATTTCCAACTGAGGCGCCCAATCCCTCACGATTATTCCTCTGCCTACAATCCTGCTTTCGTATCCTTGGGGCAGTAATCGGGTTTTTTTATGATCTTCAGACAAATTCCACGTATCTGCATCTCTGAGGACCCATAGAAACCTCTGCTGGCTTTCTTCCAACCCAATTGCGGTCACTTTGATCTCCTCATCTGAGAGGGTAGTGGCGGAACCAAACGACACCAATATCACAGAATTGGGAGCTTGCTTATCCAGCCAATCAAGGCAATAATGTCGAGGATCACTCTTGTCCTTCTTTGACCCTTTTTCCTCATGAAGAGGATTCAATGGGCCAACTGCCCAAATCCTGTCTGACCCGAAAGTATTAATCGGCTCTCTAACGTAATCCAGGAATGGACCTTCTATTGCCCTGGAGGAATTGAAAAGTGTCCCTGATCGGTTTACTTTTGTACCTAGTTGTAATCGCATGAATTCCGAAAATCTGGGCGGCAACTTAATCTCAGGCAGGAGTTGGAGTAACTGGAGTTCAGGAAATTGTTCGGGTTTCCCCTGTAGTTCCCACATAAAGGAATAATTGAACAGTGCGGAAAAGGCCGAGAAGGCGTAGGCTTCGGTGTTGGGAATAGAATCCAAGTCCTGGACAACGTATGCCATCAAGACATCATAAATTACCACTAATCTTCTTCTAGTAACACTGGACAGCTGTTTCATCAGTTCAAAAACGGGCCCCCGAAGATGAAATGACCCGAAAAATGCAGTTGGATTGAGTGGAGGTGATACTTCATGAGAAGAGACCCGTAATCCATGAAAATGGAGGTTGGAAATGGAGTCAGGATCCCAACCCTGAACCCGTGACTTTACTTTCCGGGTGTGAGCTGGAGTGGTGACATAATGAACGGGTATATTACGATAACCCGAAGAGATTAAGCCGGCGAGGTGGAGAAGCGGGTTCAGGTGTCCCTGCGACGGGTAAGGCACCATGATTATAGTTATGGCCGCCGTCCCATCTTCGTTAATGTTCCGGCCATGGCTTTGATCTCTGGCAATGATGGTGGTATCAGCAGGAGTTGCCATGATGATAAAGTGTGTTATTAAGGGTGGAAAAAGGCAATAATAATATGCTAACACCAAAGAGCCCGCTTTGAACTGCTATGTCAGTTGGTATGTAGAAAAGGTATAATGAACTGTTTGAAATTTGAAAACTAATTTGAGATTTTAACCAAAAAAAAAAAAAAAAGAAAACTAATTTGAGATTCTTCCGTGAAAAGGGCCAAATGATGAATGTGAATGCTGCATCAAAAGTGAAAGGAGAATCTTTTGGTGGTTCGTCGTTAATTTGAAAAAAAAAAAAAACAAGGAACACTGATTGGGTGCCATCTCTAGTGTTTGTTGAATTATATGGTAATAACATTTCTTAAATTAATCGCACAATCCCAAAATAGTTATTAAAAAAAACTAGTACTAAAAATAGAGTACCTAACCATTGACAAACGGCAAACTCCAGGAGTTATTAATTGTGGTTAATTTTATGAGGCGCCTTTTTTTAAGGAAATATAGAGGAAAACAAGAAGAAAATAACAAAATGTTATCTACATCTGACAACTCGATTTTTGGGAACCCATCCCTACGCTCATGTCATAACAAAATGAGTCCTTAAAAATGAGTCAGAGCTCTCTCATGTTGAAAAAAAAAAAAAAAAACCACATAAAACCAACTTGATCTATGGATTGGTTAGAAGCGTAAAACTCCCACAGTCTATTTTTATGAACTGATTGAGCACGTAAAGTCCCATGAATATTGGGTCTTGACCAGGACATATAGTGACAGCTTCGAGATTAAAGTTAATCGGAGAAGATTGATTGTCAAATGTTAGGGGTGAGAAGAAAGAAGGATTTGATAGCAATTTGATTATTGAAAAAATATTAACTCCAATTTAATGTACAATTCATGTAGTAATTAAAATCATGCCCTTCTTAATAATAACCTTCATCTTTTCTTTAACTAACATTTTCCCAAAACTCTATTACGTACATCACCATTTTTGTCCCCCTCCCCAAGCAGAAATTGCATTAAGTACGATGAGTTTTTTAAAAAGCTAATAATGCAATACTAAGTTCTTAGAGTTTTGGATGATCAAAGACGTGTTACTTCTGTGAAAAGTTTAAACCGTGAGATGATATGTTTAATCAGTGGCGAACCCAGGATTTATAGAATAAAGGGGCGAAAATATAAAAATAGAGGTTTTTGGGGAAAAAAAAATGGGTTAGGAAGCGACCGCCCCTGCTGATCCCCTAGCTCTGCCATTGTTTTATGGTGGTGGCTTTTTTTTTTTTTTTTCCTTTTAAGGTTATCTATAAATATCAGTTGATACTGTAAATACAAGTAACGATTCCATATTATCGCATAAGAACAAAAATTCACTATAACAATAAAGTACAAAACCATATTAGTCAGACCTTTTGGTCCCTCGGCCGGTTTCTTTGTTAGTGAAGGAATCATGATTTGCACCCATTAAATTGTTGTATTAACGCTTCTAAGCCCAAGTACATTTTGAATTTGGTTAGAAGGGAGTCTAATAGGGTTAATACTTTTTTAGTATAAAATTTATTTTGTACTAGAGTTAGAGAGAAGAGTTGAGACATAACAGTCATAGAATATAGGCATAGGATTGAGAGTTGAGGTGCAATCTTTTCTATTTCTATACTAATGAGATTGTTTTGTGTCCGTGGACGTAGATCTATTGAGAGATCGAACCACATAATTTTTATATTGTCTTTATTTAGTTATTTACTATGTGTGTGTGAGTGTATTTCCAATATCAAATGACTATTGGGGTTGTTAGAATCCCAACATAAATTGAGCACAACATTAAGTTTATGCGTCAGAAAATTAGGAACAAGAATTAACACTTTGAAATTGACAAGGGATGATTTTAGAGATTAGCTTTTATGTTTTTAACTTTCTTGCATTGAAACTGATTCCTTTTTTCACCAGCGCAACAATTACATTGTATGTGTTAGAAACTTGGTGCATTAAGTATATTTTGAGGTTCACTCTCTAGCTTCAGAATTAGGCTAGATTTGGAGGCTGTGATTTTTTTCGTCATCTGAGTTATTGCTTTAAGTTTTGATGTACTTTTTATGTCAGTTCAAATGCAACAGTGTGAATTAGCAGTATTTGTGATCGGTCAGACTTCCAGTTAGAATTTGTTAAAATATATACAGCAATTATTGATGAAAGTTTATTTCGGGACAAAAGAAATATAACCCTTATCTTTGACCTAAGTTTAATACTTCGAGTCAGGTTTTAATTCTGGGATTAAATCTGAGCAATAACATAGTGTGAGCTATTCTATTATAGCTCCGAGGTCATCAGAGTTCACAGTCAAATAAATGCAAATGGTGCGCAAAATATAAGAAATTATGTAGTAGCATAAGAATGTAGGGGAAAAAAAGAAATTTTAGATTAAGAGCAATAGAGAGATCTAAATTAATAAAATGAGATATTAATTCTTCATGATTTGGTTCAGATTTCCACCATTTCCGATCACTACCTTCTGGTAGCTGACATAAATTCAAAAGTATAAAAGTGATCCACTTTCGTTTACAACGGCCCGGCGGCCGGCCCTTTTTTTTCATGTCACTCCATTTTCTAAAAATAGTAGCTTTTCAGTTTTAAAGTAGGGCTGTTCATTTCAAGAAAAACCGATTCGAGCCGAACTGAATTGAACCGTTACTTTGGATCGGTTTAGAAACGGGCCAATTTTTTTTAGATCAATAATGATTCGGATCGGATCGGATCGGTTCGGGTCAAATTTCAATCTGAACTGAATTCATCCGAAATGAACCGTTTCATTCATGATAATGTAATCAAAAGCAACGATGTCATCATCATACCGGCACCGGTCATCGAAAAAAAATTCCGGCAGCTTTGCTGGAATTATCGTCGGAAGTTGTTGCCGGTGGACAGCAGTGGCGGTGGTCAAAGGCGGTTGGCGGTGGTCAACAATGTAAATATTAAAATTAATACTTTATTTTTTTTCTTTGGGCCGATTCGGTTCAATTTGGATATTCACTTGATTTGAACCGATCCGAACCATTCTATTTTTTAAAATGACCAGCTATTTCCAAAGCCAAGCGATAATACATGCTAGTGGTAGTTTCCGGCCCTTTTTTTTCATGTCCCTCCATATTCTAAACATAATAACTTTCCAGTTTCCAAGGCCAAGCGCCCATACATGCTAGTGATAGTTTTAAATGAAGAGAAGGAAAAAAAAAATCTATCGGCCCAATTTCTTTTTTATTTTTTTATTATAATGCTTTTCTAATTTCGTAACACTGGCTCATTCTTGCCAAGAAGGTAAAAACAAGAATTACATTAATTCGGAAAAAAAAAAAACAAAGAATCACCAGAATAGTGCTTAATCCCTAAGCCTGATGACGCCGCACGATCTATGAAACTTCAACTTTCAAGGGTTTGAAATGATTCATCTTTCGTTTTAGAATGATCGATCAATTTGAGTTTTTTATTTTTATTTTTACTATGATCTAATAATAAAAGCAGAAATTTAAACTCAACAATATTGAAAAAGAAAAAGTAGCAATTATAAAAGGTTTTGTGTCCAAAAATCCATCTGCAATCAATTTAAAATATATACGATGATAATTCACAATCTAATAATAATAATAATAATAATAATAATAATAATAAGTCGCTTTATCAACGAGGATACATAATGAGGATTGAGGAATGAGTGCCTCACTTTTTCAGTTGGGTCGAAGTAGTGACACTATTAATATTCTCTTCGTTCCAAAATAAGTGTCATTCGAATTTGCACACATTTTAAGAAAACATTAAATATAGTAACTAAATTACTAAAATATCCTCAACCAACCCCATTGAAATAAATGCTCACCAATAATATTATTTCTTTTGAGGGTATGTTTGGAAATTTTTGGTAAAAATGCATTGGAATCTGAAAACGACACTTATTTTGTAATTTCTCCATTTTGCTAAAACGACACTTATTTTAGAATGGAGGGAATAATTAATTGTAAAATAATGCACCCTCGCCAAATGATCAATGTGCTACAAAAATACAGCAAACAACCCATAATTCTTATCACATCCCATTTGCCTTATATATATGCCTGGTGATTTGAGATTAAGCAATTACTACTAGCTATTTGTAAGACAGATTTTAGGTTTTTTAGAAAAAATTTGTAAGATGATTATTTCCGTTTTGGTAAGTCTTAATAATTTTTCTTTTTAATCAATAAAATCAGGGTCCTCCTACCAAGTAGCGCCCTGGACTTCCGAAAAAAAAATAAAAAAAAAAATAAACATTAACATTATAATAAAATGAATTTTATTATTACTATCATACTCTCTTCGTCCCAGAAAATAGTTTAATTGAGTTTTAAAATTTTTTCTGTTTTTAGTACAAATATAAAAATTCAATATGAACTATTTTTTCGAGATACAGAGAATAATAATACTTATATATCTTATATGATAAAATTTTCAAACCACTATATTAGCAAAATGATGACAAACAAAATAGTTTTCCGAATTAGAGAGAAGCTAAAGCTTACTAGACATAAAAAATATTCTAGATGGATCATGGATGATGAGATAATATGAAATTGATCAAACACATGTACCGCTCATGCAGCCAGGACTTGTTTAGAATGATTTAAATCTCAATATAATTTGCACTAAGGGGTGGATTTATTCATCTCAATCGAGATATTTTGGCATTAAAAGGGAAAACACACACAAAGAAACAATCTCCATCACCCACTTAATTAATAACAACACTACGGAGCACAATTGTTTCAACAGTGAGACCAGGCCCAAAACCAAAGAGTACACCCCATTCGAGGCCTTCCCCTGTGGTACTCAATCTATCCTTCACAGAAGCCTTTACCATCTCTTGAAGAGAGAACAAGACGCCGGCACTGGACATATTCCCATACTCTCTCAAAATATGTCTTGTAGCCCGTAGCTTCTCTGGTCTTAGGGATAGTTTCGTTTCCAATTTGTCTAAAATTGCTGGCCCGCCAGCATGTGCAATCCAAAAGAGTGAGTTCCAATCAGAAATACCAAGAGGCCCAAACGCTTCGTCCAAGCTTTCATTGATATTCTCGCTGATGGCATCAGGAACACCCCTGACGAGGTGGAATGTCATCCCGGCTTCACAAAGATGCCCTTTGATAGCCCCATCACTATCAGGTATGATGGTTTGGGCTGCGGATACTAGCTCAAACAAGGGCCTCTCAACACAAGGCTCAGGATCTGACCCGACAATGATCGCAGCTGCACCATCTCCAAACAAGGCTTGCCCAATGAGACTAACAAAGTCTGCCTTATTTGGGCCGTGAAATGTTGCGGCAGTGATCTCCGCGCACACAACTAGAATACGGGCACCTTTGTTGTTTTCCGCTAAGTCCTTGGCGAGTCGGAGTACTGTGGCACCAGCAAAGCAACCTAGTTGGTACAGCATGAACCGTTTTGTTGATGGGTTCAGTTCCAATTGTTTGGAAAGCTGGATATCGGCTCCAGGCATATCGGTTGTGCTGCTGGTATAAAAGACCAGATGGGTTATCTTGGACTTGGGCTGACCCCATTCCTCGATTGCCTTTTCGGCTGCCTGTTTGCCCAGTTTAGGCACCTCCACTGTGACAATGTCTTGTCTAACGCTCAGCGAGGGAGCCATATAAGCACACATGCTTGGATTTTCTTTCAAGATCTCCTCGGTTAGGTGCATGTGACGTTTCCTGATCATGGTTTTGTCACCTGCAATTCAGGGAGATAGTTAAATATATATATATATATATATATATATAGATACACACACACACAGAAAGTGTTAACTATTTATTTATTATTGAATTTAACAAAGTAAATTGTTAGTGATGAAATTCTTTCTAATTGTTGTCCCAAATCTGTATCGCCGTGCTAACAAATGAACATCTTCTGCGATCATATTTCAATATTATTGACGTACCGTACGTGTGTTCGAAGCTGCTAGCATTGACTACGAAGAAAAGGGATATGTAAGTAAATTAAAGATCCTTACACAGTCGCTGAAATTTCTCCTTGAATTCGGTCATGTGCTCACTGTTAGTGATGCGGAAATAGTAATCCGGGTAGGTGCTTTGGTCAACCCAGTTGGATGGTGTCGCTGTCCCGATGGCCAGGATTGTCGCCGGCCCTTCCGCCCTTGAGGCCTTCCGAAGATCCTCCACCGTCACCATTTTTGCCGGCCTTTCGGAAATATCTTAGTATATATAGGAACTTAGCTACAGGTTCTGTTTAAGGGTACTTGCTGCTTACGGGTTTTGCTACAACAACAAAAATGACGAGGCATATATATATATATATATATATATATATATATATATATATAAGGCAAATGGGATGTGACAAGAATTATGAGTTTGCTTGCTTTATTGTGTAGCACATTGATCATTTGGTGAGGGTGCATTCAGGGCCGGCTTTAGGGGAAGCTCCTAAAGCACTAGCTTTAGGCCCCCAAATTATTAGTGCCTCATTTTTTTTTACATGTTTGTTTTTTATTTTTTGAAAATATCAATTAGTAATTTGTTTTCTAAAGAATGATATCCTCTTCTCATTATAAATAGTAGTTATCAAAGTGTTCCAAATTATACTTCTCTAACTAATTTTATGCTAAAATATTTGTAAACTTTTGAATATATCTTTATTGATAGTTATCGGAATCTATACCTTTAGTAATATAATCTTAAAGTATCATTTTCCATTTTGAATCCTTAGTGGCAATGCATTGATAAAAATGATATAATGTTAGTATATTTTGCTTGGTGGTTAGGAATCAAAATTTGTGTTTATGAATAAATTTGATTGCTTAAAACATTTATATAAATTCGATAAAGTCAATTATTAAAAGGCCCGATTTTAAATCTCGCTTGAGGCCTCATTAGGCCTTGAGACGGCTGCATTATTTTACAATTAAGTACTAATAGTGTCATTACTTCGACCCAACTGAAAAAGTGAGATACCCTCCTTCCTCATTATGTATCATCGTTAAAAAGCCACTAATAATAATTATAATAATAATAATATAATAATAATAATTATTATTAGATTGTGGATTATCATCATATATATTTTAAATTGATTGCAGATGGATATTTGGACACAAAACCTTTTATAACTGCTACTCTTTTCCTTATACTTAAATAAAAGGCACAGTAGCCAAGAAATAATGCCCAAGAAATATTCAAGGACTACCGTCAAATCGATCTTATCCGTCGGATTGAGGTAATATGATGTCAGTGACTTATTAGGGTTAAAATTGTCAAATTACGCATTTAAATCATCCAAATAATTTACAATCCGTAATGTACTGAATTATTACAAAAAAAAAACCCCCAAACGCAAAAAAAAAAACCCAAACGCAAAAAAATGACCCCGTCCTGCCTTCCGTCGTACTCAACATTTTTAACAACCCCCTTCGCCGATACTCCCTCCGACACCCACCTTCTCACCTTTTCCCTCCGCCACCCTCCAAAAATTTTTTTCCTTCGCCGCTTCTTCCTCCGGCCCCCTCAGTCTAATAGATCCTCCTCTACATTTCCGGCAAAATCTGACTCTCCGCTTCTCCATTTCCAGCGGCAGCTTATCCATCAAAACCATCGCACGCCGACGGCGTTCCTACCAATACTCTGAACATGACATTGGGATGTGTAGTTAATTTGGGCCACCAAGCAACGATTTCCGTTCTTCTTCTTCAAATTGGATTAGGAAATCAGCAAAAAAGAAAAATTTCCAATTCAGATTCGTCCCAATCGAATTAAAAATTCAATTACGGTAGGAAATCACCCAAAAAATAGACAATTTCCAATTCTTATTCGTCCCCTAATTTATCGGATTACAAACACCACGACGGCATCTGCTCTATAAATACAACAATAACCCTCATAAATAGAATGGCATCCCAATCGGATTTCCAATTACGGCATCCCAAAAATTCTTGCTTATTATTCATACCTGTTTTTTTTTTCCTTCCTGCAAATTTTTTTAGAATGGCTCCTTGTGCACCAAAGATGATTGCAAACAAGGTTGAAATTGACAAGCTCAACGACTCTGATCAGCCTTGGACTGCTATTGTCACTGTCAAGGAGAAGCAAAATCCATTCGGCCACTATACTAAAACCGAAAAGATGGTATTTAGCAATGAAAAGGTGAATTACATTATCTATATTTGTTATTTGTCATACTAATTTTCACCTCACATATTCATAATATTAATATTTGATTTATTATTGTAGGGTGCTAAAGTAGAAGGTATTTTGTTCGGACAAGCCGTCAGCATCATGGGACCACGATTCCAGACGTGTAGAAAATACCGAGTCTCCAACGCACCTATCCGGTACATTAAACCAGAATATAGGTCTCGTGGTCTTTCCAAACAATGGGTCATTGGTATTGGGACGGTTGTTGAAGAGGCTAATGAACCTATTACTACTCTTGTGACCAAGGAGCAATACACGCTCTTTGATTCCCTTAATGATTTTGCTGGTGTTCAAGATGGTTTTGTTGGGAAGTGTATTTGTTTTACTTAAACATTCTTATCAAATAGAAAACTTATGTTGATCTATACCCTTTTAAACAACCTTTTTCTTACAGATGTTATTGGTGTCATAGTCGAGAGAAACTACACGCAAACTGTTACGACAGAAAAAGGGAAAAAAAGAATGATCAAGAAATTCTGTAAGCTAAATGAAAAGTAAGTTCAATATAATGGGTTTTGAATTATTTATACAATGCTTCTTCGAAACGCCAAATTTATTTTCCGTGAAGTTTCCACCAGAATTACAAGGATGATACTCCTGTAATTTTATGAGATGATTTCCATTTTGATAATCTGATTATTGTTGTCCTTTTGTGATTGTTTTCATGTACTATTGTTACACTTGTATGTTGCATCTCATTTTCTGAAACGGTAACAAAAGGTTTGCTAGATATTTAATTTGGAATACACCTCTTTCTTTTAGTTTACGGAATTTAATCATGATATTTTGGTAAAGTAGCTAACACTTAATTTCGGTACTGCTTTCTCAATCAGGTTGCATGTGAGATTGTCACGTTGGGAAGAATTCCACCAGGATGTTGGAATATTATTAGCTGAACAAGTTCGAGCAAAGAGTTACCCAACTGTCGTTTGTCGCCGAATGCTTATCTCTGCATACAACAGTACACTAAAAAGCCCTTTTAAAACATACTCAACCATACTTTTTCTGCACACTTGTTCTCTGATAATTTAATTCTCATTAATCAGGAATTGAGGTAACAACTTCACATAGATCGGTGGTTTTGATCAATCCTCCTTCTGACAAAGCAAGGAAATTGAGGAACTGGTATATATTTTTATTTTTCTACACCAACTTTTACAAAATTTTTCAGCATATTAATTACCTTTTTAACTTTTTCAGGTCACAATAAAACAAGAAGGAAATCGATCTTTTCTTGCATAATAAACCATCATTCTCGTCTACTCCTGGCATCAGTCACAAAAACCTTTCACAAATCACTCCAGTCACACATATCGATGATGAACAATATGTTAACACGCTTGGTTCCTAATACTCTTTGTGCAACGTGTTTTAGTTCTTCTCATATTTCTTCATTCAAATTAACTAAGCTTTAAATTTTACCAAAAAAAATTAGGATATCTTAGTCAAAGTCCACGTTGAGTTCAGAGACATACCACAACCATTCTACTACATGGCTTGCAAGGAATGCGTCACTGGAACATCAGCAATCTATCAACAAGATTTCAAATGCAACAAGTGGTCATTAAAGTAATTTGCAACCAACCCAAAGTATGTCAATTTCAATTTGTTAAGATACAGTTATGAAACATATGGAAATTTAGAAATATTATATTGACATTTTAGTCGATTAGATGATTCGAAATATTCCTAAATCTTGTTGTTGTCATTCTAGGTGTCGTCTAAGAGCTAACATTCATGACGAGAGCGGATCAATCCAAGCTAGCATTTTCAGTAGCATCGCAGAAAAGATATTGGGTTTCACTGCAACAGAAATCGTTGAGAACCCTGAAAAGGTATGCACATTCTTCATTTCAGCTATTCAAGTTCCTAAACATGCATGTTTCAAAAATCCAATGTTTCCTTCCTTTATATATGCATTGATAAATGACACGTCCTTAATATCTTATTTGTTTTTTTAACAGATAAACCTTAAAGAAATACATGAGCTGTTAGAAAAAAAAATTTCTATTGCAGCTGAGAGGAAAAAAAAGAATGTACAGGGTGCTTCGAGATTACTACGTCAACAATTTAATTGAGGACGGCGGTTCTTTTGTGACGCCATTGCTGATAACCAACTCGCAGATGAAGTACCTGAGGACAACAACACTGAAGTTACGCCGATCAAACAAATAAGCAACCGACATGAGGTCAGTTTGACACTGAATTTATATCTCTTTTTTCCTCTGCATATCTCAAATACATTTTTTTAGTTTAATTCCCATCATATTAAACATAAACATTAATGTTTCTTTTTGTTATAAACATACACGAAATAGTTATAACATTTAATATTCCCGATTACACATTACTAAGTTCAACAGAGAAATATGTTTTTTTAAATATTCTTAATTGCAATTTATATTACACAAGTATTAGTAAAGACTGGTCGCGTAACGCGCGACACCAAAAGACTAGTCTTTTTAAACGCTTCTATTATTAGATCATAGTAAAAATAAAAAATTCAAACAGATCAATCATTCTAAAACAGACAACGAATCATTTCAAGCCCTTGAAAGCTGAAGTTTCATAGATCGTGCAGCGTCATTACATAGGGATGTCAATTCCTAACACGACCTGTGAACCAGACACGAACCTGACACGAAATAAACGGGTTTGGGTTGAGATTTTAAAATCCATATAATAAATGAGTCGGATCGAGTTGACCCGTTTATTAAATAGGTCGGATTCGGATTGACTTGCCGGGTAATGCAGGTTACCCACTTAACCCATTATAATATTAAATTACCTGAAAAATTTTAGATATAATTACAATTTTAACGTTGATTAATCTTAACAAATATTTATAAAACTCCTTTTTATCTCATCGTTTCAAATGGATACTATTTTTTCATCCAAATATGAATGATAATTTACACATTTATTGATTTTTTATATTAATTTTTTATATTTTTTATTTTTTGAAAAAATTAGACAGGTTAAATGGATTGACCCGGGTAACCTGTATAACTAAATGGGTTAGATTTGGGTTGAGATAAGAATAGTGAACCCAACCCACCAACTCGGAACCAACCATTTTGACACTAGGCACTATTCCGATGATTCTTTGTTTTTTTCTCCCCGGATTAATGTGATTCTTGTTTTTACCATCTTGGCAAGAATGAGCCAGTATGAAATTAGAAAAGATAATTAAAAAAATAAAGAAGAATTGTGCCAATATTTTTTTTTTCTTCTCTTCATTTAAAACTACCACTAGCATGTATGGGTAAATAATATTAAGCATCATCGAGACTTATGAATCTGAAGAATCAATTAGAACAGAAAATTTCAACTGATTAGCAATGAAATCCGGAGAATTAAGCTTCAAATTTGGAAGATTTTAATGAATAACGATGTTTATTTGGATGAATAATGGTATGTTTATCGATGAATAATGATAACATTGTGGATGAATAGTGATGTTTTTATAATGACAAAGTTATGAAGGAATAAATTTAAATTTTGAAATAAATAACAATATTTACAAATATGAATAATGCGCAACAGAATGAATAAATTTGATTAAAAAAATAAAATAAAAAACTAACAAGAGTACAGTTTACAATAAGTTAATGTCAGCAAATAAGCTAACAAACTTCTAATTATGCACTATACTAGACTAAAATTAAAAAAAAAAATTATTGTTTTTAACATGTAAGGTCTTGAGTTGTTTGATTTCAGCAATTCTACCAAATATTTGATTCACGTCCGATTGAGTTCATCTTGATAAGCATTTCTTTGCCGCTGATAAAACAAAAACAACATTAAAATAAGTGAGGTTTCACATTCAATCAAAACTCTGTTAATCATCAATAACAATGCAATTGAAGATGAATAATCATTTTGAATACGATAAATAAACATTAAATTATATAAATCGAATCTAGTTAATAACAATCGTGTACAGGTACATACTACATGATGAATAACAACATCACTAGTGATGAATGACATATCTTTGCATGATGCATACCATATCCAAGGAATAAATAACACATTTCAAAGGATGAATGATATATATTGACAAGATAAATAACACTATTTTACAGGATTAATAATACACATTTACAATGTACAATCACATATTACATGATAAATACAATACCATTAAAATGAATTATACATATTTGCAGGATGAATGATATTTGCAGTATGACTAACACGGATTCAAAAGATGAACCACACAAATTCACATGATGAATGACGTACATTCACATTACTATATCAGATCAATCTTTAGATGAATACCGACATAGCAGAGGATGAACAACCATCATATTTGCATATATCTAATTCAGACTAAATGCCTAAAATGAACATCAATGAATAACGTCTTAATAGACGATGAGTAATCATGCTTAAGATGATAAATAATCATCAGATCTGCATACATCTAATCCAAATCAAAATATCCACAATGCACATACTACACGATGACTAACTTATTCATAGAGGGTGAATAATCACTTTTAATAGGATGAATAAAGGATCAACATATCGTACGGGATATCCATAAAATACAAATTATCATTGTTATCTGAAATTCAATGCCAGAAATATAAAAATTCTTGCTCTAAACTTGTAGGCTACTGGCGGGAATAGTCGTAGAATTTGTAAATCTTATTTTTCTTCTTTCTTACAGTAGATCTGAATCCATAAATCTCTTGCGATTCACCAAATCTGAATTTTGTTAATTATCATTAAAGATCTAAATATATAAACCTCTGACAATTCACGGACGGGTTGGAACTGGCAATTCTAAATTAACAAACACAAATTTTGAGAATTTCAAACGAGATTCAGCGAACGAATTTATGTTTTTGAGAAATAGATTTCAGGAACAAATACACAAAACGGATGAATAAGATCATATATTACCGTAATTCTCATATTTAGTAGAATTTATTGCAACCAAACTCACGGGATTAGATGCATAATCGGATTCCATTTTCAAAAACACCGCCGACGAGAGGTATTGTTGCCAAATCGCCATAGAGGAACATTTGTTTTTTCAAATTTAGTTTGACACGTCTTTAGATTGAATGGAATAGGAAGTTGGATTGAATGGTATAAAATGCTGGCTAAAAATTAGGAGTAATATCCAGAAATAAAGATTTGAAAATCCTTTTTTTTTCTCTCCCCTTTTTGGGCACATGTTTACACATTAGGAATACCTCGCAAGATATTCCTAAGTGTCCTATATTATAATTGGCATATATGGGCGCTTGGCCTTGAAAATTGAAAAGTGACTATTTTTAGAAAATAGAGTGACATGAAAAAAAAAAGTTGTA